ATGTGCTGAATCTTCTTCTTGTTCCTCTCTCCGCAATTGCAGAATCATAGTTTTATCACTGACTACATTTGAATGTTATAACAAACAAAATGGTTCACTGCATGCAAAACAAAATTGAAGATTTCTTGAACTGAATCTTTATATTATTTTACAGACATCAACTAGACTTGTATGTGAAGACACAATTGCATAAATTTGGGTACTCTATGGTTAGCTTGTCAAATTTTGTTTTCAATGACAATCAACTCGACCAGCAACGGGAAGTAGGGAGAAGAAAAAACTACTTAAACAAACTTATGGTTTGAATTCTAAAACTGTCCTAGTGAGCATCTATTGACAAATTAATTAATCACAAATGAAGGCTCTATGCTCCATTGATTCCCTTTTTGACCATAAGGGCCATTTTAATAGCTTTTCCTAAAACCATACTTTTCCCGGTCTCTTACTAATCCCTAAGTCTCCGGTATAGAGCCTCCTCCTTCGCCCAACTTGCTTTTTCCCATGCCCATCCCATGTAGAATGGATAGTAGTCACCACTACTACCGAGCGACCGCTGCAGTCTCGGTTCTTTGACTTACAATCATCAATGTAAGCCGTCTCATACGTATCCTTTTAGTTTTTTAGTGAAAATCTAGTAAGGTTCGCTCAATCTCGTACACTCACTCAAAATGGTTACTGGACAAGGTTGGTCCTTTGTTGATAAAAAAATCAGGTTGCTCACCAGCTATAGCACTTCGACCCGAGCGTGGTCTTTCCACACATTCATCCTAAAATTCCAAATCCACAACTCATGTTGTAGTGGTGCCAATGGCACTCTAATGTTTTTGGCAATATCACAAACATTTGGCCCACCACGAAAGTCCTTTTAGGGACAGTCCAGATACTCAACTACACGGGAGATAATAAGAATCACTTTTCTAGTAACATCTTTCTCATGACCTCACCACAGAGTACAAAAATTCATTGCTCAACAAACAAAGAATTAACTGCATACACTTACACACACATACGCACCCACACGCACATGCTTATGTGAAAAATATAAGAATAAAATTAAGTTTTTAAAACTTTTATTAAATTTTCATTTTAATTATTTTTAAATTGTAAATTTCAGTTGCAAATTTTTTTGGTCCTATTTAGTGTGTACATTAAAGAATAATAATTATTGACCTTAAATTTGTTTTTATGGCTATTCAAGGCCAAACAATAAAAACCATTGAAAAGGCCAAACGGTCAATTATTTAAAGTGGTTTTAAAAGCCATCATGTGTAGGTTACACAGTGGCTATATAAAGTGGTTTTGTGAAATTTTTTAAAGGTGAACAAAATCAACACTCCAGGCTTTCTTCCTATTTTCTAATCAACACTCCAAGCTTTCTTCCTATTGCTCATTTCAGTAACTATCCAATTGCTCATATCAATTCTTTTACATTTTGCCTACCTTTTTCAATTATCTTCTATTATTTTGTTTTTGGGCAACTTGATTCGACTCAGGTTCACTTCAACCTTTCAGTGGTCGTGACCATTGATAAAGTGCTGCTGCAAGCATCTGCGTTGGATCTTGGAGTCGCTGGTATACGTCAGTACCCTCACGTGGGGAGGCTCAGCTGCTTTACAGTGATTACACGCCTCTCGGACTTGCAAACCAGCTCTTTCCAAATTAATTTATTTGGTTTATATAGATTGCAAGTTTATTCTTTTTCTGTATTTATTTAAATTGCATGTTATATTTTTAATGATCTAACTACTGTTTGCATGCTTTATTTCAAATTTTAGATTATAACACTCATAATTATTTTGCTCATATTATAATTCTAATAATTGTTAATTTGACCAAAAAATTCAATAGCAATTTTTCTTAATTCCAATTATAAATCTATGCTTAAATCTATAATTTTTTTTACAAAAAGGCGTATGTATCACCGTTGCAACAAAAAGGTTCAGATGCGATGGGATAAGTAAGCAAGCTATTGACGACATGGTGGAAATCACGGAGATTTGAGAATTCCTCTTGATTGGAATACCAATTATATCAGAAATCATCACATTTCATACATTTCACTTGTCAATTAGAGAATAAGATAGCACATATTGCCTGTATGTAGTTGTCAAAACCCAAAACCAAATCAAATTACATCCAAAATACTATATACCTCCTCAGAAATTCGGGTTTTGAGCAGATAACACAATCCAATGGGATCACGTAACGGGTTCGGGTGTGGCCTATCATTCATCGGAGCAAGATGGCGTAGAGATTCGTGAATTGCAATAACGACTGGCATTAAAGAGAGTAAGTACAACACGACGAATCAATCTTAATTAACTGCTTACAGTATCGCGATTTGAAAAAAAAAAAGATTCGTAGTGGTATAGAATTCCAGATTGATGAGAGAAGAGTGAGAAAGGAACAATCGCTTACAGAGTGATAATGAAGATGGAAGACGCATGTACCTGCTTTTAAATCTCGAATCAATAGAGGCAAAAGGCTTGTCTATCCAAGACGACGCACAGCATCAACATTTTTGCCCCTCTTTCTCTCTCTCTCTCCCCTCTGTTTTTATTACCGTTTGGCGCACAGGTATTGGCGCCCGATATATTTGTTTTATGGGAAATTTGGTTTTCTGTGCTACATAAATGGGAAATTTAAAAAAAATAAAGGATTTGGGACAGAATTTCACAAAAGCCCCCTCAATTTTAGTTTAATCTCGAATTTCACAAACATAACACTCAACCCATTTTATCTAAGCATACAGTTAAAACCAATAATAATGTCGCACAAACTGAAAGTGGGAGGCATAAGAGGGTGCACTGTGACGATGGGGGGAGGGGGGGCGCAAGGAAGGTGAAATGAGTGTCATTTTGTTGTAAGGGGATGAGGGAGATGGTGAAGCGGGTATGGGAAAGTTTACGGTGGTACCAACCGAAGAGTGGAAGAAAGGTTAATGGAGAGAGGAGATTGTTGGAAATAAGTGGTTGTGGGAAGAAGAAAATATTGAATTTGATGGTTACACCATGTCTCCAGTTATATGGTGTAACTGTTCAATAATAAGATAACATGTGGATAACTGAATTTCTCACAACTAAATAATTATGCATCCATGTAATGCAATAACTTTCCTATGTATAGAGGTGAGTTATATTTTGTTCATTTGATTTTTTTCTCATTAAACGATGACACCAAGTGACAGTGATAATGTAGTATCATCCTTACATTGAATATTTAGGAATTGAGGAAATGGTTGTTAAAAGGTATTTGGGGCTTGAAAAAATGAGATGGGGTGAGGAAGAAGTCCATTGTAAGTGCCCAACAAAACCAAATCCACATCCAACCAACCAACACCCTCATCATTGCTCTAAATTCTCATCTTTACTACCCTTTATCCACCACGATTATTGTAAAATTCTCAAAGACGCACAAAGGATGGGGAAATCCTTTGAATTTGAGTGTGGTTGAATGGAAAAAACTAAAAAATAAGAAGAAAAAATTGCAAATTGCAAGGTAAATTTCTAAAGCAAACCAATTGCAGAAAACCTCACTGGAGATGGTGATGCATTGCAATGGCTTTATCAGTGTCGCATGCATGTGTGTGTCGTTGCTAAAAAAAAGTTGGTAGAAGGTGCGATTAAACTAAAAAAATTTTGTAGTTAAGCGTGTTTTAGTAAAAGTAGTATTAAGATAAGTGATATTCCGGAAAATCCTTTAGTCCGGAAAATCCTTGTGTTACATCTTTTTTTTAAAAAATAAAGTTTGTAGGATCAATCTTAAAATTTTAATATTAATTGCTAACGTTTTTACTTTGTTGTAATTTAATTTAACTGAGTTGTTATGTCGTAATTTTTAGTGTCGAAAAATAGTCTTTCAGTTATACTTAACATGTTTGGTGCGCAAAAATGTTGGTTGTGACTTGTGACCATGTCACCTGCTTTCGTCATATTATTAAGGGCCTTCGGATGCACTTCAGGCAAACATAATTAGAAATCCTAGAGAACCTAATTTGAGAGAGAGAGAGAGAGAGAGAGAGAGTTGGGTTCCTCAACCCCTCGTAATAGTATTGCTAAATTTTGAGTTCGAAAATCACTTCATCAATGCAAAGATCAGGCTAATTTTTTTTTTTTTATCAGATATCAACGCTAATTCCATTGTTCAAAAATTAGGCCAACAAAATAAATACCTATTTTTTGAATTTTCCTGGTCACGCAAAAAAGTATTCTTTTAAATTGTCCATATGTTGAATAGTTTTTTTTTTTTTTCCTCAATTAGATCTAATTTTTAGCACCATAGTCATTATCTTCCTCTTCTTTTTTTTTTTCCCGAATTTCTTCACCACGAATTTTAATCCCACAGTATTAAAAACCCACTACCAATTCACATGTTAACATATAGCTCTGCGTTGCTCAGTTATACATGTCATCGACCAAATCAGCGTCTCCCCTCATGGAAGTGTGACAGTGACACCACACCAATTATAAAACAACAAATGATAAATAAATCTTATTATTCTAACATGACATTTATTAAATAGACTAATTATTAATAGGCATTAAAAATAAACAAAACTCTATAAATTCACTTGATATTCTATCATCGATTGGTGGTAAAACCACGTGACATTGATGTACTATCACAACTACGTTCAATATTTTTTCCCCTTCATAGTCAATTAAAAGCAATTGCTTAAAGAACTAATTCGTCAAACTACGCTGCATAAATGATGTTTCAATAGCTAGCCAACCATGACAACAGTTTACATCCAATTTCTTCCTTTCATGCATTTTGAGAAGTAATGAACTTCAAAATTCTCCGAAGTTGAAATCCATGCAAGGTGATCAATATCCTACAGATATCATCTCATATACATTGTCATACACAATTGCTTCAAAACAAACCTTAATATGAAAAAAAAATTGCGGTCTCAAGTAAAAATTCAGCATGGGAAACAACTAGGTCCAACAACTACCAAAAAAACTAGTAACCTCTAGTGCTTCTGTCTCTCTCCGTACCTAATTGTCACGCCTGGTACTCCTCCGGCGAGGCACAGCGGTGGTGTCCTCATTATTCTCTTCCTTCTCCTCTGTGACTTCTTCAGTGTTTGAAGCCTCAGCCACATCTGTCTTCTCAATCTCTTCCGTTTTTGCCTGCATCAGTTGATCAATACATTCTAAGAAAAAGTGTGTACGCATCTCGGAAGATGACAGAGATCAGTTATTTATTCTTTAAACTAAAAACGAATACAAAACTCACTGGCTTCTTGCCACCAAATATGAGCTTCAACAACACTGAGAAGATAACCACCACGATTGAGATAAGGATGCCAATCGTCAAGTTTGCTTGTTTCTCAGCCTTCTCCAAGAGATCCTGCAAGAAAAACAGGCTGTGTCAGGCACCTGAGCATTTACAGTAAAGTTGCAAGATATACCATATTTATAGATATGAAATATCTAGGGGTGTTCACTTTACTATGCGGGTAGGAAATACTTTACGGAAGAATATTTTCTTAACCTACCCTACTCAATCAAGTGTTGTATTCTTACCCGATTGCTGACCAATTTAATTGGCTAGGAAGTCGGATAAGAAATCGGATCCAAATTAATTTTTGGATCATTTTAACAATTTAATTAAATAACATGCACTAATTTAACAACACATTAAACTAATAACACTAAAATCTCAAACAATTACAACAACAATTATAATAAAACACAAAAACACATAAACATCAATCCATCAAAATTATTACACAAATACAATAACAATTGTTTTAAGTTTAAACCATATGGTTAAGAAATTAGAGTTTTTAGTTTTTATATATATAAAAATAAATTAATTAATTAATGCGAATAAGGTAGGGTAGGAATACATAAATTAATGACTATTCCGCATTCTTATCCGATTTAATCGGAAGACTAAAAACTCTTCTGCATTCCTATCCGATTTTTTCAGTTACCAGTCCAATAAGATCGGGTAGGGTAAGAAATTATGACTAAACGGAAATTTGAACACCCCTAGAAATATGTTAGTCTAATGACTTACCAAAATCTTAGGCTTGTGGTCACTCAAGAACGGAACGTCTGCAATCTTGTAGAGGTTGTCAAATACCTTCTTCTGCAATAATTATTCCCAATTATTTAGGAAACAGATTAAAAATTGGATGGAAAAAAAAAACAGATTCAACCATTAAAATTACCTGGAACCCTTTGAGACCATCTGAAAGGTCGGCAGCTTGTTCCTCAGCCTTCTGTTTCTCTTTCTCTACTTCGAACTTCGGCTTCCATTTGGTCTCCCTGTATGATTCTGCAACTTTCTCATCACTAGCTATCAAAATATTGTCAAACAGGATACCATCCTGCATCGTCCAAATCTCAATACCAATGGCAGCAATAGGCTCATAGTCTGGTTTCTCAAGCTCAAAGTAGTCGGGGTTTGGAATTTCTTGAGGCTTCCAGATACCCTTGTAGCTGGGGTTGTCAATAAGAGGGGCGTGCCATTTTCCCTTGTAAGCTGGATTCCTCTTCGTTGGCCTCTTCCACTCGCCACAACCAGGTGCAGATTCACACTTGGGGTTGTCAATCTTTGGAGCCTCCCATTCACCATCCTCCTCATCATCCCAATCTTCAGGTTTTGCTGCCTCAGGATCATCAACTTCCTCAGGCTCATCATCTAACCATCCTTCCGGTTTTACAGCATCCTCATCTTCAATTTCCATAGGGCATCCTCGTCCCAATCATCTGGTTTCTTTGCATCTGGGTCTGGTATTTTTGCCCTCTCATCCCAATCTTCAGGCTTCTTATCATCTGGGTCAGGAATCGTCTTGGCTGGTACTAGTGGTGGCTCAAAATCTTCAGCAGAGAGGAAATTACCCTTCTTCTTCTCTTCCCCATCAATCAAGATCCGCAACTCATTATCGGGTTTTAAAATGGCAGTGTACACATGGGTTAGTTTATCAGATGGCACGGATGGTGGATACTTGAGATGATGTTCAATGTACTCCCCACTCTTGGGGTTCTTATGCTTCAAAATGAAGTGAACCTTGTTTGTTGCTCCACATTTATCAGGTCCAAACATTATAGTATAGGGAGACTCGTTGTCAAAAGCTTTGGCTATCCACCCAGCCTCCTGTGGTCGGAGGTATTTCAGATATGCACCGCCACATTCAAGTCCATTCTGGAGGCGAGTTTCATATTGGAGAACGACAGTTCCATCCTTTGGATCTGCAAGTTCGTCTAGCTCCTTCACAATCGCATGCTTCCTAGCCTTTTCAGTCACAAGAAGCCCATAATCATCATGTCCCTCACTCTTTGCATGTTTCCATACACCTAAAGCAAAGAACGAGATCATCATAAACTAAAATCTCAGAAAGTGAGAAATGGCTCATATCATGTGAGGATCATGCAGTATATGGAAAGAATATGCCCAGAAACCACACATGATCTGAAATAGATATCTGCACATGAAAAGTGCATTAATACATAGACTTTCAAATATTTTAACGAAACAGGTTCACATACAAAAAGTTATTCTTGATGACAACATATGGCTAAGGTAGATATAATGTTTTTGAAGGGATTTATGCCACTAAAATATTTACATGCCAATCCAATTCAGGGAGATTTACTTAAGGAGCTGAAGATAATGAAACTTAGTCTCATAAAATGAACAAAAAAATTCACAGCATCATAATCACTTCAGCAAAGTAAGCAGACACTTCCAATCTCAATTCATTTTTTTCATATGAAAGAGCTAAATAACAAGACTCTGAATCACATTCTTAAAGCAAACATTTATTAGAATCCTCAAGGAAGCTAAGGAATTTCTGCATGTCAACTTGAGAAAAGATGCATTTTCAATCAACAAGCACAAAAGCAGGCTCATCATAGACATCAATGCATATGTGTTAACAAATCAATCCTCAGCTCAACCACCCTGGAGGCGAGACCATGTTGTCTCATGACTGGTTCAACCAAAGAAACACAACCAAAAACAAAAAAGAAACACAACCAAATAACAAAAAAGAAAGAGTAGTTTTCAATTTTATTTATTTATTTCATTGTGGGGGGGGGGGGTGGCATCTGAGTACTACAAAGAAGCTAGGTACCTGGCCTAGGTTCTCCATAGAATTTAGCTCTGATAAACTTGCAAAAATTACAACCAATAGGTTGGACTACTGAGCTAAAGCAAGGTCAAACTATATTTCAAACGACGTATACCTGGTCAACAAAGCAAAAGTACATGCAAAAGAACTCGCGTGAGCAGACCAAGTTTGTATCTGGTCATCACTAAAGCTACATAACATACAGAAATACGTAGCAAGGCAAACAATACCACTGCATGTGAATTTCCTCAAATTGCAATAAGCAATCATTCAAATAAATGCTGCGGGTGACCAGCTTCAAATCCTTATCTTCAAAATTACTTTGAATATCCCAAATAGCATGTAAATTAAAAATAAATCTTGTGAACTTATACTCTCTAATTTCATTCACGAGTTCATAGTTTTAAACAAAACAGCTATACTCTCAGCAAATTGCTTAGGGTTCACATCCTACAGTACCGTACAGAAAGCAATGAATTCTACCAAGCAACAAAGACGCATCAACCTCAGATCTTTTAATCTCTAAATAGACAGTGCTCGTTCACCACCGAATTTGATATCTAAACCTCAAATCAACATAAACAGGACTTATATTTGCCACGAAAAAAGTATTCCAATTCCATTTACACATTCGAACGCAGACACAAGTCTCAGCTTTCACTACCAGTTGGATGCGATTACTACACAATATCAAGAGCACGAAATCAACCCAAACAACTCACAGATCCAAACAAATCGTACCTGTATATTCCTCCTTCTCAGACACGATCCATCGCCCCTCAAATTTTTCGTCAAACGATTCGTAAAATTTCTACCAAAAAAAAAAAACCGAAAGCATTTCTTTATCAACACAAACCTACAAATCAATAATTGAAAAAAAAAAAAAACTGAAGTAAAAAGAGCTCATGCATTTACCACATCAGAAGACGCGTAGAGTTGAGAAGCAAAGCAACCGATCAAAAGCAGCAACACATACTGCATAAAAATCCTCCGTTTCGTCTCTTCCATTATTACCACCTAAATCAACGCTTATCGATGAAGAAATCACTACAAAAACTCCGAAGATCTGAGATCCAATAGATCGAAGAGTTTATTTAACAATCAAACCCTAGCTCCAACGAGAAATGATAGATCGATAGATCGATCTATATGTCAGAGAGGGAGAGAAGAGAGACAGGGCTTTGGGGGTGAGTGCTCGGAATGATATATAGATCTTGACAAGAGTGGCATCGAGTTGTTTCGGCCAATGACATTTCATGCCACGTGATTTGGACCAATAATATTCGGCCACGTGAGCCATTCGACCAAAGACATCGTAGCGAAGGGGCAAAGGTGAGATCTACGGTTGTGATTGTTTTGATCTATCTATGCTTTGTTTGACCAGATCTTTGCCCTTGTCTCTCTTTTCTTTCCTTTTTTTTTTGGCTGGGTAGTTGATCTAGAAGAAAAAATAGAAAATACGCCATATGTTTTTTTCCTCAAGTAAAAGGAATATTCGTCTATTTTTTCTTAGTATCACATAGTTATTTATGAAAAGATCCCGCTACACGGACAAAGTTGAAGTTAAGATCTCACTACTAGAAAATAAAAGTTTAACTCTAATGAACTGTCATAATTATAAAAATTACAACTTAAATATTAACCGAAAAAATCTGATTTTTGATTTGTTGACCAACCAAATTCTCTTCATTTATGTAAGATGTCTGAATTTTTGTGAGTGCGTGTTTGAATTTAATTTTACATGATGAGTGATTTTGTTTAGGATAAAATATATTTTTAGTCCCCAAAGAATACGTGTAGTGTTTATTTGATCTCTAATTTTTTAATTATGTCTATTTAGTTTCTAAAATTCCTAATTTATATCAATTTGGTCTAATCTCAAACGTCCGTTAAAAAAATCGTCAACGCCTCTGTTCACGTGGGACCAAATAATATGAATTATGAATTTTAGGGATAAAAAAGACATAATTAAAAATCACGTGATTGACGCGTGATAAGAACTGTCACGATTTTCTGATGAACATTTAAAATTGGACCACGTAAATATAAATTAAGAACCTTAAAAACTAAATAAACACAATTAAAATATTAAAAACTAAATAACCATTAAACACATACTTTGAAGACTAAAAATATTTCATTAATAGAAAGTTACATCAATAAAGCCACATTTTTTTTGATATTATTGCCATAAGTATTATTCTCAAGAATCTCAACAACTTCAACCACGTAGCATTCTCGATGACTTAACAATGCGAAATCCCACTTAAACATACTCCATCCTTTAAAAAATCTATGATCTTTGATAAAGAAATTTTCTATTGATGTTGAGGGTCATCGACCCACCTTTTAATTTTTAGTCTTGTCTATTTTGATCAAGTTATAATATTTGCCATTAAGTTCATTGAATCTTATTTGTCAATTTTATGGGTCCTATTGATGTTAGACAAAACCCAATAGATTAAACGGGATTTAACTTAGATTATTGTAAATTTGTCAAATTTATTTATCAAATTAATAAAGATTATTGGATTAACGTCGTCACTTTTCTTGAAGGGACTCAATGATCTATTGTTCATGTTGATTTGGTTAGACAATTTGATAAACCAGTCTTTTAACCTTGAAATTAAGAGGATCAAAAGTCGTGTATCATCATATTCTATTTTTTTTCCTCTTCATTAATTTTCAGCATTTGACAAGAATTCGAGACTATTAGAAAACCCTGATTTTGAGCTCACAAGTTGAATATACTTGTCAATTTTCTTTGTTTGTACATCTAAAAAATGACCTACTCCTACTCTGTCTCATATTTTTGGCCTGATTTTGACGATTAAGCAAAAATCAAATGGAGTTTCTTTCTATTTTGAATTATTGTTATTTACCTTAAAACTTGCCATTTAGGCACTATGGTGAATAAGGGACCCTCTTTTCCTTTCCTAGTCCGGTCTCCTCCCTATAGACTACTACAAACAATGGTATAAGACATCTTGCTTATTCGTAAGAACTACTATACTTACTAAAAAGTTTATCAAATTTTACATATTAAATCAATGTATAAGTTATGTTGAACTATTATATTCGAGTTCGACTTATTTTGTAAGTGAGTTAAAATTGAACAATTTTTTAGATTCGTTTAAAAAAACGAATTTGAATAACTCAATGATAAAACTCGATTTGATTACCAACCCTACCCTATACACACACACACAAATGATGGACTTACGTTTGGCAATGCGATGAATCCATTACTCGTGAAAGCCAGCATTTACTGAGCCCTCGCCCCCAAAGTCTCCTCCTGAAGCTACCAAAATTGAAGCAGCCCAGTGGAACAGGCATTGAGGGAGAGAGAACAGAAGAAGCTGAATTTCCAAGATCTTCTACACTAGAGCAAAACATCCCTTGCTGTACCACTCAGTCATGAGGTTTCTGCAAATATATATATGTATATATATATAGAGAGAGAGAGAGAGAGAGACAGAGACAGAGAAGAGAGGGGAAAGGGGGAGGGAGGAGAGACATCTTTATATAGTACCAGGCTGCATTGATGACATAAACACTACAATGTTTTTTCGGAGTTAACGTTGCTATACTGCATTGATGACATGAGATGGCTAGGTGCACAGAAGTTTCACATGAATTTTCCATCGTCTTCCAAACTAACAATGAAGAGGGAATGATAATTACCAAATAATTATTACCATTTGGAATATTAGGAGGTTAATACTGTTAGTGTTAGATATATGTGTACACATATTTTTATAAATTTTACAACACTCAAATTAAAGCAAAGGATTTGCAAAACCTTTGCTCTTTGTTTAAATAAATTAGTTGCTTACCTCTAACAATGACAGTAGACCGAGAAAAACTTGGTCTTTATCCAAATTCATTCTGTTTCGACTAGATGTGAACCATACGTATTGAAATGTGAACGTATATGAAGATACATATATAAACCCGTATGGAGATGAATGTGAGAATGGAGTGAAACTCATCCTTGCCCTACTTTGCTCTGCTAAACTTGTAATATATATACGTGTCATATATATATAAAACAAATAAAATAATTAAATGAAACACACATTTGTTATACATATTATTTTTGTAAGATTCTAGGTTTGATCAATTTGCTATATAATGAGTTTTAATCATTTTTGCAAATATATTTGTGAGGTTTTAATGATTGTTTTTTTTAAATCATAGAAATTAATTGTTATGGGTGAGGATGGGGACAATGATTAAAATTTCTCCCGCTAACAGGAGTAGACCGGAGTTGGATGAATATTTTTTAAACAAGTATAGGGATGGAGGCTACTCCCTCCACCCCGGCCCACTACTAGTTTTTTCTCGTACCTGAAGGCATGGATTAATAAAAAAATGGTCAACAATAAAATATTTATATTCACACCCAAAATTAAATCACAAATATAGAAGAGAAAAAAAAAATTTAAATACTGATTGTAATGAGAATAAGCGGTGGTAGTGGTGGTGGGAGATAGTGGTTGTGGTGAAAGATAGTAATAGTTGTGATGGGTGTCAACGATTGTCATGGTGGTGACAGTTGTGGATGACAATAGTGATAGTGACCGTGAGTTTTGAGTGACAATGATGGTGGTGGTGGGTGTGGGAAGTGATGGCCGACGACAATGGCGGTTGGCAGTGGCAGCGGTTGACAGTGACAATAGTGGTGATAGGTGACGACGAATGTTTTTGGACAATAGTGTGATACATGGTGGTGAATGGCGATGATGATTGTAGTGGTAAGTGTAGTGAAGGTGGGTGATAATGAGTGCTAGTGGTGGGCAATGACGAGTGATGGTGATAGATGTGATGGGTTGGGTGGCAGTGGCTGGCGACGATGGTAGGTAACCACTGGTGGTGGTGGGCAACAATAGGGATAATGTGTGCTGATGGTGAACGATTGTGGTAGTGAAATGATGGTGATAGTAATAATAAATATAAGAATGAAATGATAATGATGGTGAATAGTGGCAATAGTGGTGGTATGGTGGCCACAACGGTGATGGTGGAGTAGGGGTGGGTGGTGGTTGTTGTGGCGACGGTAATAGTTGTGGGGTGGTATGGGTAATGGTGGTGGTGGTGGTGGTGGTGGTGGTGGTGATAGTGGGGGGGGGGGGGGCGGGGGGCGATTTGAAACATTATTTTTTTAAAAAAAAAAAAACTTATAAGAAATTACAAATTCTAAAAACACTTTTAAGAAGTCACCCTAAACACAAATTTAGGGATTTATTTTCCCTATTAAATTTAGAATATTAATATTAATTGTCAGATTAATTTTAAAATAAAATTTTAAAAAATTTCAACGTTGAAAAGTAAAAGTCATTGTATTTATCTTTTAAAATTTGAATTGTATTATATTTTATTATATAAATTTTTATAATTTTTTTGAAAAATACTCTACATTTCACTTTTATTGCTTATTTCCATTATTTTTGCTAGCTATTTCAAAAAAAATTAATTTAAATATCCTAATGTATAATTTTCAATAATATTTGGATGTGAGTGAGGTGTCAAGGTGCCAAGACATTGTAAATTTCATGTGACTTATATACCATTGCTGATATATTTATTGTATAGTAATGATTTCCGACACATCTAGAAGTGGGGCTGATAATTCGGCCTAGTTAGTCGAACTCGATTGAAATTTGACTTGTATAAGACTATATTTTTGTTTTGAATAAGTTGCACTTGAATAATTTTTCAGACTCGTTTTAAGAAATAAGTCTAAAAAACCCAGTTCAAATTCGTAAAACTCGACTCATTTATATATAAAATAGTCGAGCTATTCGAACTCAACACTGATTCAACTTATTTTAAAATCAACTTATTTTCTAAACAAACTGAATTTAAATAACTTTTTAAACTTATTTTAAAAAAATTAGTTCGATAAACTCAACTCAAACTCACAAATTTGGACTTAGATTATTAACTTTATCTGGAGGCTCACTTGCCACAAAGCCTCGTGGCAGATGTGAAAAGTAAAAGTTGCG